TATACTCATGTGTGTTTATACCTATACAGTATATGGTTTATACTCGTGTGTATCAGCAGCTGTGTGTGAATCTGGGGGGTTTTCTACCTCCACGTGTCTTTGAGCGTCTGATGCGTTACGCGAGTGTTCATGAACGCGTATGTAAGGCGTCACAGCGGATTACTTCAGCTTCGTTGTTGCTTCATATGTTTATGATAGTTATGAGACATAGAATAAACTCTTACCGTGAGCTCTGGAGTCCTCTGGTCACACGGACCACTGACGCACTTCCCCTCCGACGCGCAGCAGCTGATGCGGTACAGCGACATGCCGCGGCGCGGAGACGAACTGCAAATACACCGCGGTTCACTACAGCGCCTGTAGCCAGTGCTGCTGAACTGAAAAAAAAATTAATTAAATTAAAAAGTACATCTACCTCCACGTGTCTTTGAGCGTCTGATGCGTTACGCGAGTGATCATGAACGCATATGTAAGGCGTCACAGCGGATTACTTCAGCTTCGTTGTTGCTTCATATGTTTATGATAGTTATGAGACATAGAATAAACTCTTACCGTGAGCTCTGGAGTCCTCTGGTCACACGGACCACTGACGCACTTCCCCTCCGACGCGCAGCAGCTGATGCAGTACAGCGACACGCCGCGGCGCGGAGACGAACTGCAACTACACCGCGGTTCACTACAGCGCCTGTAGCCAGTGCTGCTGAACTGAAAAAAAAATTAATTAAATTAAAAAGTACAATAAAATAAAATAAAAAGGTTAAGTTAAAATAAAATAAATTAAAATGAAAAAAATGTAATAATATAAAATAAAATATAAAATAATGTAGTGGGCTCTGATTGTAATTTTGGAAAATGTATTAAATTAAATAAAAAAAAAACTGTGGGCACTGACTCTAGTGTTGAAAACAAATAATATAGTAATATAAAATAAAAAATAATGTAGTGGGCATTGATTCTAATATTGGAAATTAAATAAAAATTTTATAAAATTAAATTGTGGTGGAAATAATATTTATTTTTCCTCTGATCTGTTTCCTAATGAAATAAAATAATAATTAAACAAACAAGAAATTAAAAATAATTACAAAATAAATAGAAAACAATGAAAATAATAAAAGAAAATCATAATAAAAATAAAATAAAGTAAAAATCTAAAAACCAGTGACTGGTTTCCTGATAAAATAAAATAAGTCAGAAAAATAATACAATTAAAGTAAAATAATGAAATAAAAATAATATAATAAATAAAACATTATTTTAATATTTTCTCACTGCTCACATCTTTTTGTTTGACTAGCAATAAAAAATGTGTCTATAGTGGAACTATATGAAAAATGTATTCTATCGACTATCTACACTGATTAAGTTTAGATAGATTTCCTTCAATGCTCTTTTATTTTTATTATATTTTCCCCTTTATTGTAAGCTACATGCCACCTTATTGTGTTTTATTCCTCCTCTTTTTCTTACGTCTATCTTCTTTTCTTTGTTAATGTTCTCCTGAAGGTGATTGTATTTTCATCCAATTTTTTTGAATAATAAAAAAAGAAACAATTTAACGATGCAGGGAAATATGGTGTACCTTGCAATTGCTACTTTATACAGGTGCATCTCAATAAATTATATGTCGTGGAAAAGTTCATTTATTTCAGTGATTGAACTCAAATTGTGAAACTTGTGTATTAAATAAATTCAATGCACACAGACTGAAGTAGTTTAAGTTTTTGGTTCTTTTAATTGTGATGATTTTGGCTCACATTTAACAAAAACCCACCAGTTCACTATCTCAATAAATTAGAATACTTCATAAGACCAATAAAAAAACATTTTTAGTGAATTGTTGGCCTTCTGGAAAGTATGTTCATTTACTGTACATGTACTCAATACTTGGTAGGGGCTCCTTTTGCTTTAATTACTGCCTCAATTCGGCGTGGCATGGAGGTGATCAGTTTGTGGCACTGCTGAGGTGGTATGGAAGCCCAGGTTTCTTTGACAGTGGCCTTCAGCTCATCTGCATTTTTTGGTCTCTTGTTTCTCATTTTCCTCTTGACAATACCCCATAGATTCTCTATGGGGTTCAGGTCTGGTGAGTTTGCTGGCCAGTCAAGCACACCAACACCATGGTCATTTAACCAACTTTTGGTGCTTTTGGCAGTGTGGGCAGGTGCCAAATCCTGCTGGAAAATGAAATCAGCATCTTCAAAAAGCTGGTCAGCAGAAGGAAGCATGAAGTGCTCCAAAATTTTTTGGTAAATGGGTGCAGTGACTTTGGTTTTCAAAAAACACAATGGACCAACACCAGCAGATGACATTGCACCCCAAATCATCACAGACTGTGGAAACTTAACATTGGACTTCAAGCAACTTGGGCTATGAGCTTCTCCACCCTTCCTCCAGACTCTAGGACCTTGGTTTCCAAATGAAATACAAAACTTGCTCTCATCTGAAAAGAGGACTTTGGACCACTGGGCAACAGTCCAGTTCTTCTTCTCCTTAGCCCAGGTAAGATGCCTCTGATGTTGTCTGTGGTTCAGGAGTGGCTTAACAAGAGGAATACGACAACTGTAGCCAAATTCCTTGACACGTCTGTGTGTGGTGGCTCTTGATGCCTTGACCCCAGCCTCAGTCCATTCCTTGTGAAGTTCACTCAAATTCTTGAATCGATTTTGCTTGACAGTCCTCATAAGGCTGCGGTTCTCTCGGTTGGTTGTGCATCTTTTTCTTCCACACTTTTTCCTTCCACTCAACTTTGTTAACATGCTTGGATACAGCACTCTGTGAATAGCCAGCTTCTTTGGCAATGAATGTTTGTGGCTTACCCTCCTTGTGAAGGGTGTCAATGATTGTCTTCTGGACAACTGTCTGATCAGCAGTCTTCCCCATGATTGTGTAGCCTAGTGAACCAAACTGAGAGGCCATTTTGAAGGCTCAGGAAACCTTTGCAGGTGTTTTGTGTTGATTAGCTGATTGGCATGTCACCATATTTTAATTTGTTGAGATAGTGAATTGGTGGGTTTTTGTTAAATGTGAGCCAAAATCATCACAATTAAAAGAACCAAAGACTTAAACTACTTCAGTCTGTGTGCATTGAATTTATTTAATACACGAGTTTCACAATTTGAGTTGAATTACTGAAATAAATGAACTTTTCCACGACATTCTAATTTATTGAGATGCACCTGTAGTTATTTCAACAAAAAAACATCAAATTTGAAATGTAACGCAGGGAATTCTGGGAATGTCAATTTACGGTTATTCACTGTAAATTATACGGTATTTTTCACTTCCAAAAACGGCATACTACCGTAAAATTGATGTCCAATACATGTAATGTCCAATACAGTTTTTCACCGTATATAGTAGGGGAATTTACCGTTAACCATTTAACAGGTTTTTACTGTAGCATTTTTACAGTGTTTTACCGTTAAATTCACGGTCATTTTTTACAGTGTAGTGGTCAGTCACTGGGTTTTTATTTCCTCAGTTTGTCTCTATTTGCTGACTGAGATCATGTGGATGCCAGGCAGGAATCATGAAGGATTTTGAGTGTGTTTGTCAGAGCTTCTGTCCTGCCCTCTGTTTCATAATTGATGGACAGACAGATGTAAAAAAAGAGGCGAGCCGCATATAATTCTGAAGGGCACGACATGAAAGACTGACAGAGATATATATATATATAGAGAGAGAGAGAGAGAGAGAGAGAGAGAAAGAGAGAGACTGAGAGAGAGAGAGAGACTGACAGATATATATATATATATATAGAGAGAGAGAGAGAGAGAGAGAGAGAGAGAGAGAGAGAGAGACTGAGAGAGATGCTGATTGGTCTTTCAGGACTCCATGGCAACAGATACTGAGTGTGTGTTTGATGAGAGATGAAGCATCAGACTGTAAGAGGCTCTTCATGTTGATCTGTGAGTAAATCTGACCTCTTCATCAGGTAGATGTTGTTTCTCATTCACTCGCTCTTCCTAAACTGCACTTCCTAACAGTATCTCTCTTCATCTCATTCTCATTTCTTGCTGTGTCTCTCTGTTTAGTGTTTCAAACTGCTTTATTCTTCACATCATTTATGACGTTGCTTCCAAAATAATTTGACTTTAGTTAAAGTACATGCTAAGACCATGTTTACTTTAATATAAACCATGGAACTGTGTGATTACCAAATTCATATGGCATTGTTTCTTCATTATAGTTTCTTTAAAGGATTTACCTTCATGATCTGTGTGCAAAAAACATTGAAATACCACAGTGATTTTTTATAATTGCAACTAAAGTCAATCTATGAAGTACTTTCCTTCTTTGTTAATCAGAAGTAGAAATGTATCTCTTGAAATAATAAATCTATTTTTATATTATAGTTTATGGATGTTGCTAACAGATTAACCCGGGAGATTTCAATCTTTTCTTTGCCAAACATGATTATGCTAATGTAAGAGAACCCCATCTGAAAACTTACAGACAGCACTTTATACTATGAAAGAATATTATTAGAAATATGTCTAAACATTTTTTAATTTTTTTTGGTAAATACATTTATTATTATGTACTGTGATAGTACTGTGTCCATTTGTTTTGATGCATTTATTATTTATTTATGTGTTTGTTTACAGTTATTAAACATTTAGAGTTTATTTTAATTTTATTTATTTTATCCAGATGTTTATTCTATTCTATTCAATTCTATTTTTAGTTTATTTATTGTTTACTAACCTTATTATTCAGAATTGATTTCACATATTTTTCACAAACATTTAGAAATTCCTCTGCCTCCATGTTTTTTATCTTATTTGTTTTAAACTAATGTTTATTAATTTATTTTATTTGTTTATATTATTTTTGTTTATTTACTTTTGTTTATTTATTTTTATGGACCTCCTATCACCTCCTTGCGGCCCCACAGAGGAGCTCTGGACCCTAATTAAATAAAAAACCCTGGCCCAGACAAGTAATATATGAGATTGTTGGCTTGAATTGTGTTGTTTGTCACTGCAAATGATTGAACAGGAGTGACATCTGTATTAATCTGCAGTGTGAACGTGGCCTTTTAGAGCGGAAGACACTGATCTCTGCTGCTCCTCCAGACTCCATCATGGACAAAACTCCAGAGAGTTCTGCTGGACTCGGGATCATCGCCAGTGAAATCGTCAAAACTAGTGAGGACTGCCGAAAGCGTCACACAGTTGACCTCCGGCCCGCTCCTCTCTTCCGTGCGCTGGGTCTGACGGGACTGTCTGCTAGTTTACCGCCCCACCGTCGCCTGCGTTCAGTCTTAAACACGACCCGAAGCACATCGGGTCAGTCTGTTGACCGTCCTGACCCGTTAATGGATCGACCTCACCGAAATTCACCCTTAAATGGACTCAAATGCATTCAAGACAAGCCACTGCCCAAGATTTTACATGCAAACCATCAAAAAGATGAGATATCCATGAATAAGGAGCCACCACTGGTCGGCGTTCAGCGCTGGCATCACGACCAAAGGACAGCGAGGACCCGCGGCAGAGACACAGGAATTAGGACTGAAAAGGAAGAGTATTTGTTTGAAGAAGTTTGGCGGGAACAGACACCAAAGGTGATGCGAAAAAAGAAAAATAAACAAGTAAAAAATGAGGTGTCAGACTTCAGCCTGTGGATACAGAGTTTAGAAATAACAGACAGCCAGAGGAAACAAGCCACAAAACGACACCGGAGCAACTCTAGTGGGCGTGGCAACTGGGCGGAGTCTTTGTGTAAAGGGGCGGGGCAAACACAGAGAGACCGACGCCCACACTTCCTGCCGCCCATCACTCAAAGCGACTGCTTGCTTAACGTCCCTCTGCTCCTTCCAGACAACTCCCCGCCTCCGTCGCCCTGCTCTCCGTCAGAAATCCTGCTCTTTCCTCTGTCTGTTCCTCACATCCAGCCTTTTCCCGGAGAGAGGAGAGGAGACACAGCAGCTCTACACGACTGACACTATCTCTCATTTCATGAATGAAATATACACTACCAGTCAAATGTTTGGACAGCCCTTTTTTCTTTATTATTAGCGCATTCTAAAATAACACTAATGTCATGAAAACTCTTATATAACAGATGATAGTCTGAGAATGATGTTGTGATTAAAACATGAGACCAGTGAAAACTCACTTTATAAATGAGCTTCTTTGTCTGGATTCACTGAGAAACATGCGTGATGAAAATAAAACATAAAATAATGTTAATTTTGTACTATTTATATCTGTGTACAAACTATATAAAGGGACATTTCACCCAAAAGGAAATGATTCCTATTATTCCACTTTAAATGATTCAAAACCTGTTTGAGTTTCTTTCTTCTGTTGAACATAAAAGAAGATGTTTTGAAGAATGTGGGTAATCAGAGAGTTGTTGGTCCTCACTGACCTCCACAGTACGCAAAATAAAAATGCTATGGAAGTCAATGGCAGTGTTGGGGGTAACGCATTACAAGTAACGCGAGTTTCGTAATCAGATTATTTTTTTCAAGTAACTAGTAAAGTAACGCATTACTTTTTGATTTACAAGAGAATATCTGAGTTACTTTTTCAAATAAGTAACGCAAGTTACTTTTTTTCCAATGTATTGATTGACAGCTCTCCTGTCCGCATGTTGAGAGAAATCAGAAGATGTTACTGTAGTTCTAAAATAAATATGAATATGCATTAATTCATCTCACTCACAAAAAAAAACACAGATTCAGTATTCCTCAAAATGAATAAAAATAATGCAACTCAGAATATGACACAAACCTGCAATAATTAAATGTTAAACAACACAAATATCCTTTATGTATTTATTCCCATTCTATTAACCAATGTCTTTGCTTTTGACCTTCGATGATCCAGTTCAACCATTTCACTTTTGGTGTGAAAAGCTTTAATATTTGCCAAAAATAGAACTTTTTTAATTTAAAAACAAACATACAAGCCCTGTCCAGATTTAAAAAGTAACGCAAAAGTAACGTAACGCATTTCTTTCCATAAACAGTAACTAAGTAACGTAATTAGTTACTTTTTTATGGAGTAACGCAATATTGTAATGCATTACTTTTAAAAGTAACTTTCCCCAACACTGGTCAGTGGAGACCAGGAACAGACTGGGCTACTTGTTGATGGAAAAAAAGGAAAGAAAGAAAGAAAGAAATGACAAACATTGTTGACACAAATGTAAAATAAATGCAGTGTAATTTGTGGAATAAAAACATTTTATTAAATTACAGAATTAAAAAACAGCTAATCTAAGTCAGAGTTATTATAGTTAGCTAAGAACTGTAATAAAAGTGTAATATAAAATTATTATAAATAGCATTTTTGTTTTAGCTAGTTGCCAAGGCAACATTTCTTATTTTAATTTAAAACAAAATGACTAAATCTTTATGTAATAAATAAATTCAGCACATACACAAAAGTGAGAAGAAAGTACGCTTTACTGGATTTGATCTTGAATGATACAGCTTTAAATGCTGGTTTTTGGTTTAGCACAGTGTTTCTGCTTACAACATTTGAAGCAACAACAGAAAGTCTGATGATACCCAAGACGTTTCACACTGAAAAAAACGAAACAAAAACCGAACATTCCTTTCCTCAACACTTTCTCTCTCTCCAGAAAGCTTTTTTCTGGACAAGTCGTGACTCCTAAACTGTGCGGGATTCACAACACATCATTGTTTCTCATTAGTCAGATTCGAGAAATAACATGATTTATTCGAACCTTCACCATGTGTTTTAATTCAGTGCAGCGTAACACTTGATTAATAAATGTAGGGATAAAGTAATGAATCAAAATATATTACCATAAAAGAAATCCAGGCATGGAGATCGTAGTTTTAACAGTCCCTGATGTTTCCATGTGTTCTGTGACTGAACTCTGAAAATATCTGGATATACTGTGACTGAAATGAAGTGGTTTGATATTAACGTCACCTCAGCAGACAATGATGAATCTTATAAACTCAATCATTTAAAAGTTTGATTAATCTCACTTAATTAATTGTATTATTTATTGTTTATTGATCTGTTGTATAACAGCAGTGTGAGTGTGTCTGTAGAGCTGGTATCAGTCCAGTATCCTAATCACAGCCGTACTTATATTCAGATCAACAGCACTCTTACTCGTGTGATATGGATTAAATATTGAAGCATGATGAAAGCAGGAAGATCCAGATCTACAGATTACAGACTATCGAACGGTAAGATCTTTAGAGGCAATAAACCATAACACCAGAAGAATGGTAAGACGGTGTCAGTGAAGGTGGTTGTGAATGTGTGTAGATGTGTGTTAGTTACAGGATCAGAGAACGACACTGTTCCTCTGTCATAGTCCAGATGAACTCTCACACGATCAAGCTTCTGTTCAACACAGAAATCAAATTTTGTGACTAAGGAGAGAAATGGAGATTCATGATACTTCACACACCAGACATCAGCGTTGAAGAAATCATGTCCTTTCCTCTGGTTTGATGCTGTAGTTACTCCAAGATGCCAGCATAGACTCTCTTTAACCTCCACATCCCAGCAGTGTGTTCCTGAGTTAAAACCCTCTGAACCCAGGACACAGGCATACTCGTCAAATCTCTCTGGATTATCAGGAAATGGTTGACTGGTCAAGCTCCATCTCAGCCTGGTCAGATCATCAGACAGGACGAGATGTGGATGAGCCGTGTTTGGATCCAGAATCACAGGAGCTGATGAGACACAATCAACAGCTGCTTTTATTCTGCTGTTCATATAATGATGAAGAGTGAACCGAACACAGATTATTATGAATTATAACACTTTTGATCAAACACATCAGACTTTTTTTCCTCCGATCACTCAGTGTTATTAGTTACACACTCATTTTTATCATCAGCGTTTAATGGCAGCAGATACAAACAATACAAACTAAATGTGTGATTCAAACATGTGTGTGCATCAAGAGAAACTGATAATTTGGAAAAGTTTAAATAAGAATCAATCAATCAGAGCTGTTGAGATTAAACACTGAAACGGTAAAAAATTCAGTGTATGAAACTCTAAGTATCTTCAGCATGATCTGATCATCTTCATTAATCTAGGTCTTACTGTGTGTGTGAATAGTTTGTTACTGTCTGTTGTGTTTGACTTAGTAATTAATAATCTGTCATTGTAATATTGTAAGATATATTAAAATCTCTGTGGTGTGAATAATTGAAGCAGGTTCATCTGGTAAACACATCGATGTCAGACTTTGTTCCAGTGTTTTGTGTGTGTTTAGTTCTCCCTCATGTTTCCTTATGCCCATATTTGGTTTTGTTCCTGTTCTCATTGTCTCATTATTAGTGGATTCCCTGCACCTGTCTGTCCCTCGTTAAGTTTAGTATGTGCAGTCTGCCTCTTGTTTCCTTGTCGAGTCTTAAATGTCATCCTGTGTTTGTACTCCAGCGCTCCCGATGGTAGTGGTCCTCTCCTTTGGTTTGTGTAAGTCTTCTCCTCGTTTCTTTGACACATCGTGACAATCATTCGCTGAACAGACTCTCATCACTGTGTTTCTTCACTGGAAAAAACTAAATACACGAAGCAGCACTTTTCTAGAAACCCTTTCAGAACGGCAGGATTCATGAAAATCACATGAGAATTTCTTACAATAAATAAGTTTTAATTAAAAAATAACTAAATTATAAAATATTTTATGAATGTTGTAAAAAAAAAATTACTTGCCAAAAGTTTGGAAGCATTATGATTTTTAAATGTTTTAATGATGTCTCTTCTGCTCACCAAGGCAGCATTTATTTGATGAAAAATAAAGTAAAAACAGTGATATTATGAAATATTATTAGAATTTAATTTAATTGTTTTCTATGTGAATATCTATTAACATGTAATTTATTCCTGTGATCAAAGCTGTATTTTCAGCATCATTACTCCAGTCTTCAGTGTCACATGATCCTTCAGAAATCATTCTAATATGCTGATTTGCTGCTCAATTACTAATAATGGTTCTTATTATTATCAGTGTTAAAAACAGTTTTTGCTGCTTAATATTTTGTGGGAAAAACATTTCTTTGATGAATAGAAATGTCAAAATAACAGCATTTATTTGAAAATTAAATATAACATTAAATATTTATTTTCTACTGTCACTTTTGATCAATTTAATACATATTTGCTGAATAAAAGCATTAATTTCTATAACACACACACACACACACACACACACTTGTACATGTGTTTTATGGGGCTCTCCATATTACGTCTTAATGGTTTTTCTGTGGTACAAATTTTCTATCCCCCTATACTAAACCACCCACTCACATAAAACTACTGGCATTTTGCAAATTAAAAAATAAAAAAATAAAACAGTTTAGTATGTTTTTAAGCCATTTGATTTAAGAGTACACAGCAAGATGTCATGGTATCTGCATAAATATGAAGCAGCACTTCATTATTGCTAATAATCAGAAATGTTTCTTGAGCAGCAAATCAGCATATTAGAATGATTTCTGAAGGATCATGTGACACTGAAGACTGGAGTAATGATGATGAAAACAGCTTTGATCACAGAAATAAATTACATTTTAATAGATATTCACATAGAAAATTTTTATTTTAAATTGTAACTATTACACAATATTGCAGTTTTTACTGTGTTTTGATCAAATAAATGCAGCCTTGGTGAGCAGAAGAGACTTCACTAAAAGCATAAAAAAAAATCATAATATTTTCAAACTTTTGCCAAGAACTGTATACCCGTAACATCTTGTGGGGGGGGGGGGGGGTCTAATGCTATTTCATTTACATTGTTAAAGTGTTGGATTCTCATGCTAAACACGGCCAAAGTTTCAAAACATGAGTTGGACATGTTTCTGTGCCAAATACAAAGTTTTTCAGGGTTTGTACAAGTTTCAGAAAGGTTTTTTTTTGGATTTATGGCTCTGTATGACGTCATAAAGGGCAGAATTCCTTGTATGGGCACTTCTCCTACAAGAGCACGCACACATCAAACAGGGGTGTTTCC